CTCCCAATCTGACCTCATTTAATACTTGATCTGGTAAAGCACACACCCTCAATTCTAGCGAGCCTTGCCACTAATAAGTACTATTAACCCATGAATAGAGTCTTACAATCATGATTTCTTGTTACTTTTTTAAACCTGTAAAGAAACAAAACAAAACTGGAGCATCCTAAATGTGTGGCAGAAGTTCAGAGGACCCTAACATTGTTTAGTTTATATTTTATGACCAAAAAAAATGGAATAGTTCGTTGGTGTGGTGGTTTTACATGTGTATATAAGGAAAGGCACCTTTATGTTGTGCCAACAGCAATCACATCTTAAGTGCCCAATTAAAATGTGACTTTTTCAACTCCAAAAGTTCCATGAGACAGTTTAGCCATCTGTTTAATGAAATGACCACCACTGATTTGGTCATAGATAATTATTACAATAAGAACAGTGCTAGGGAAAGATCAACTCATTCCAGTTGAGGATGACAGTTAATTATGAAGAGGTAATTAGTGAAGGTGATTCGCACTGTCTCATCTCCAGGGTAAGAAATAGGTAACAAATCTCACTCTAGGTATAGATCATGTAGTGTGTATGATTATATACATCTTTGAATCATTATTTTTAAATCTTACAAGATATATACCAAATAATGTATTTACTGAGCTAAATTCAACCAGAAGGAAAAGTGTTGTTTTTCATAAATTATCTATTGAATTCTATGTATTTGAGGTTTTATTGGTCAAAATATTCTTAGGTTATTACATGGAGGCTTTTGTGTTCTCTGGCCACTCTTACTGATGTAAGGGAATTTTCAGCATTTGTCTCTCGTCGAATCCATGATGAGAGCCCTTAATACACTTTGCTAATTACCTGCCGGCAAGACCCCAGTGCGGCAATATTAGAATAAGCTCTGTGCTATCAAATGTGGTGAAGGAATGGAGAGTTCTGATGAAGATCGTTCTCAAAACTCACACTAAACAATAGTTTTAAAAAGTCCTCTATGATAACATTGCTTTGATAAGGAGCAAAATTGATTAATTTCCTTCTTACTATCTTGGCTTAAGTACTCCTGAGCTGTGAAATAGATAAAAGCCAAATTATGGAGGAACAATAAACAAAAGACTTTCATTTTTAGTATCTTAGAGCCAGGTGCAGCATAACGGACCTCTGTGTGTAGTGAAGAGCTTTGGCATTCAGTATTAGAACCAAGGGGATTTTTAACAGATTGCCTCACAGGAAAGCAAGAACTCTGCCTGGCTCCTCATTCTCATTTTGCACGAGACTAAGCTTTTCTTATGTTTCATATACAGTCATTTCTTGGCACTCCTGGTTTCTCCAACATGAAATTCTTACGAATTTATATTGCATCCATTTAGAACATGTGAAGAACTGAGCTAAGTTACCTTAATTTTTGTGCTATTAATGAAGAAAGGTTTTAAAGAACCAATAGCAAAATATACTAGGAGATTCTCAGTCCCTTTAAGAGGAGGATTTTGGTGAGATCCTAATATATTCTTTGCTTAAATGCAAAATAGAGTTAGCTGTAAATGGATTCTTCTGTAGGAGTGTGTAGTATTTAAGGTCTCTAGCTTTGTTTAAGCTTACTGAGACTTGAGTTGTGAACTGAGAATAATTCTTTACGAGGAATTATTCCCAGTTTCTCATCAGTCTTAGATATAAATCCAGGTGTTTCCACATACATAGCTGTGTGATCTTGGGCAAGTTATATAATCTCTCAGAACTTTAATTTATTTTTCATCTGAAATACGAATATTAGAAGTACTTTCTTCAAGGGTTTTTTGGAAAACTAAATTAGATAATGAATCTAAGCTGCTTGTTTTAATGCCTGACCATCCTAACACTCAGAATGAGTTAATATTTATCTAAAAATTAAATTAGGATGGTACCCGTTTTCTACTTAGAGGTACATATTTCATTATATACTTAAGATATAGTAAGTTCTTTGAAAAATACCTGTTTATTTCTTAAACTCTAACAATGACTTATTCATTCTGCCTTTCTTTCCAATGAGCATGTCTGAATTGTAATACATACTTGTAAAGGGTTAGCTTTGGTCTGCTTATTGTTTAGTTGAGCGTAACAGGATGTGTAAGGATTTTTTCTATAATATTCTATATTAATGATAAATTAGGTAAAAGTACTAAGTATAGAACAGAATTTAGAGAGTAGAAGGGTTGAGAGTTGGGAGACATGAAATCTGGGTTCTATATATAGTTAAATCAGTGTCTATTTCAGTTTCTTCAAACTTTAGTGAAGAAACTTGTACTGAATGATTTCTGTGGCTGTTTACAGTTTTCTTAAGTTATAATTCTAGCATAAACTCAGAACAACCTATTTTCAGAATTATACTATTTAACTCCTGGCTATGTCTATCACATATCTTTGCTTCTACTTATTTTTTTTCCACTTAATAGAAAAGAGTACGTGATTGCTTTATCTTAAAGTTGATTTTTTTCCCCAAAATATTTGAAACATTAGGCTATACAGTGACCTTAAAAGTGATCTAGCCCTACTCAGCCAGGGCATTATTGTATTCTGAGAAGACCAATTTCCTATATCTGGAAAAGACTCAACTCTCCCCATCATTTTCTTTGAAAAGGAAATCATATAAATTATCATGCCTAACAACTTTTACTGTTCTAGTGAAAGTTATTTCCCATTTTGTGTTTTAAAAAAAATTAATTGAAATAAAATGCTAATTTTCATTACAGGGGTATTTTACCTTTTATTCTCCTGTTCAACAGACTTTTATGCATTTAAGAAGGTATGTGTTTATTACTTTAATTGAATCAGCTTAATAAAGTCCTATAGCTTTATATATTCCTAATTTTGAATGGAAATACCTGATGGAGGAAAATAAAGATAATGAAGAGCAGGAATACATCTCTCTGAATTTCATGTGACTATCAATAATTGGATCAAGAAAAGAGAGGCTGCCGATGTTTTATTTAGATTGTGTTAATTCAGTCCCCAGAACCAGATAAAAGGTCTAATAATATAGTTTATAATGATGTGAACTGTCACTTCTATTTGAATAATGTTAGCTACAATCAAATAATTTTTTCTTTATTCATAATGGAATGTTCTTATTCTCATTTTTTCTATAACACCTTTGCCTCCAAACATAATTCAGTTGAGAAAAACAGCACTGTGTACCTAATTCCCATGTGGTTTAGATTATAATTTTGAGCTGAGCTGTGGCCAAAGCTTTGCCCTTTCATGAGACACTGATTTTGTGGCTTAATATATTTTTGGTTCTGAGCTAGATTATCTTATCCATACTCAGGGAAATACAGAATGAAATGAAGAAACCATATGAATTTTGAAATTATATTTACATCTTTATGGCAATTTATTTTTTTTAATTTTCAATTATTGATCTGATTTGATCCTCCTCTCTGTTCCAAGCACACACTCCTGACTTTCTAATTTCCTTCTCAAAATGATGCCATTGCATTTACCTGCCACTTCAGGGGCCTCTCTCTTTTCTTTCTTTTGCAAAAATAGCATTTCCAGTGTCTTAATGCTTTATTGTCAAGGTTGTGTAGGCGTTCTTCCAGGCATCTCATGGGGTTAGCAGAGGAGACAGTACCCTGTACCTTTCCTACCTTTTGTCTACAGAGGTTACTTTGGAGGTGGAAGCATGAGGAGATTAGCTGAGGCAGCTACAGAAATTGCTTCCTAGTTCAAGCAAGGTCAGAGGCTGGTCTTGTTATACAATATACAAATTCCACTGAGGAGTATCTGTGAAAGCACTCATGGTCTGAATTTAGCTGTTCTTCAGTACTGAGATATAAACCCTATGGTTCAATTTGCTAAAGCACATTTTACATGCTAGAGTTAGCAAAAATGAATCAAATACCGTAAAAGCATGCTCCTATTCACTTAAAAAAAAATTAGAAGGTCTCTTTTAGGTTAGAGGCTTCTAATAAATGGCATCCATACATATTTGAGATTCAGGCTTTGAAAACTCTAAGGTGGCATGTTACTATATAGGCTAGCTTCCCAAAGGACATTTTTTATTTTGTAATTTCATATTTTGCTATCTTATCTGGCTTAATTGTCATGTTATTTCTTATCTATCATTTGCTTATCTTCATTAAAAAACTGTTCAATATCATTAAGCACTTCATCTTTCAGTTAGATGATTTTGCATGTAATTATGGGAAACGAAAATGGAAAACTTTTCTGATTATCACAAATGATAATGGAGAGTTGCAAACAATTTGAAGTTAATTATGAACTTAGTTGGGTGGGTTAATTAATTTCTACGTGGGCTACATAGAAGACGGATTTCCAACATGTATCCATTAAGTTAATAATATTAACTCCTATTTTATAAAGAAAACATGTAGGTACACATACAGCTCATATCAAAACATCAAACTTTTATTATATCGAAATCGTTCCAGGACTGACGTTTTAGTTTGTATTTAAACAAAGTATTTTTAGTGCTCGCTTCGGCAGCACATATACTAAACAAAGTATTTTTAGAGGATTTGAATCATACCAATTGTGTCCCAACTTCGACTGCAAATATTCACATTTCATATTAAAATTGTTCAACATGGTCTGAGTGTCTGTCAGTTTTTCCAACTATGTTTCAGCCTCGTCACTTGATTTTGTTTTGTTGTGCATTGTCATATGTTACGAGAGAATTAAAGCACTTCTTTTATTTACAAAACCCAGTCAGCATTTTGTCACTGCCTATTCAAACTCCAGCTTAATGGCCCAGACTGACTATTTGTGACAATGGAGCTGTGGGAATGAGTGATGGATCTGTGTAGCAGCGATAGCTTTAACCTCTAACTAGCTTTCATTTCTCATCTTTGCAATTTCCATTTCCTCTTTTTATTGAAATAAGTTCAGTTGAAATAAATGGATACTCCTGCACATCCTGTGAGCTCTTCTGAGAATAACATTGGTCTGTTAATAATTTTTCATGTTTCTCTCTCTCTCTCTCTCTCTTTTTTTTTTTTTTTTTTTTTTAGTCTCGACCTATTCCTTCCCACCTTACTTCAGCAGTTGCAGAGAGTATCTTGGCCTCAGCCTGTGAGAGTGAAAGCAGGAATGCCGCCAAGAGGATGCGTCTGGATAGACAACAGGTACTGAGGAGCCTTGGGGGCTGGTGTGCACCCGCGATGGCAAACAAATATGGTTCATTTAGTCCAATTTATGCAGAAGGCGAAAGACTCTCGAATGGATTTTGAAGTACACCAAGATACAGTTTTTGTGTCTTTATGATATGAATTTGAACTTGAAAATGCATGTTCATGAGATCAGTAGGCATCCGTCAAATTTTCCGTGGTGAAAAATGGCCAACTGTAAAGTTAATGAGCCAGAATTCTGTTTAGTATCCAATTTGCGGGCTAATGGCTTATTTAAATAAGTGGTTCTAACTGATCATCGACAATAGTTTTGTAAATTTACCTGATTGTTTATGATAGTGACATGATTGTGTTCATTCTGAACGAAAGCAAACCTCTCTTTAATGGCCTCTGGTCTGCTGCTAAATGTCTGTGGATTATTCTGGAAATGGTGAAAAAGCAAAGATTTTGCAAGCCTAGAAAGCTGTGAAATGGGGATATAAGACAATGAAAATGTATGTCCTGGGCTTGCTTCCTCATTAATGAACCATTTACTATATGCCCATTAAGAATCCTCTTTCTTTGTCTCTTTTTAAAGGATGTACCCCCCTGTGGTGTGGACGTGTGCATTTTTTGTGCATTGTGTGCTTATGTTTCATTGAGTTTTCCCTTGGCTTATCTGCATCCATCTGTCGCCCCTTCTCAGGTCTGGAATGCCTTTCTCTGTTTTCTTTCTCTCTCTGGCCTTCTTAATTATCCATAATAAATGACTCAATTGTAATATATGACATCAAATGCTACACATAAAAGTATGCTGCATTCTGACTTTAAGTTACTTTTACAACAGGTCATCTGGTGCCTCACATCTTTAATTAAGTTTGGAACGAGAGGACTAAATTGTTAGTCTAATTTTGTTTTTCCTGTAAGCCAATGAGCCTCTAAGGAAAATAGAAAAAAAAGTTTTTCTCTTCCAGGACTAAAATATGTAAAAATGTTTCAGAATGGCATTATTTAAAATTTATGTGTTTATTACCAATATGGCGTGTGCTAATAATTCTAAACAGTGCAAAAGAAGACTTCAATTTTTTTAAATGTAGTATTCACCTCAGATAAAATATATATTTTGAGTTTGTTCATCATTCTTGGCCAACAGTATTTATTCACATGTGCATGCCCTCAGTGAGACTTTTATCATTAAGTCTAGAATTTATCTTCCTTGAAATAAGTCAGAGCTCTATATACAATACCATGTAGCAGAGTGATTAAGATGGTATATTCTAGAGTAAAGACATCTGGTTTTGATTCTCAGCCCTACCTTTACTAGTTGTGTGCCCTTCAGAAAGCTGTTCCATTCTCTGTGCCTTACTTTCTTTATGGGCAAGCTAACAGTAACAGTTCTCATCCTATAGGGTTGTTGTGAGAATGACAGATTTATGTTAAGTACTTAGCCTGGCATGTAGTAAGCATCAGTAAGTTCAGCCTAGAAAAGAAGATTTTAACTGATATTCTGTCAGTGCCTTGGCATCTGTAAAACTAGAAAGAAGCACTAATAGGACTATCTTAGATACGGGAGTTTTGAAGTCAGACTAAGTCTATTTGAGAAAAGATCATAATTCTAGAAACAGGAATGGTAGAATTCCAGGATTGAATGGACTCTTCTGGGTGTTGTCTTGCCATATATCCCACCTAGTCTACACTCTAGAATGGTGTCAGTCATATATACAGTTATTATGAAAGTTGAAGGACTGATTCACATTATGTACTACCTATGATATCACCATACAGTAGCCCCAAAAGCTGGGCATCCACCAATATTTGGTCCAACATCTTAAACCACGGTTGGCCTAATCTATAACATGGAGGGTACAACTATTAAGTTCATAGATTTATTTTGAGGATTTCATAAGGCAAGGCATATGAAAGCATAGTTCATTTGATTCGTTTATGTATTGTTGGAGCTTTAGTCTGGTCACCATTTGCTTGAATACCTAAAGTGGTAGGAAAATCCCACCTCTGGGGCTGAAGATCTGCTATTTGCTAACACATGTGTCCTGTTATCAGAGAGCTATAATCATTTTGACAGTCCTTAAATTGAGATCAAATTTGTTTTCTAGAGCTTCCACCCACTGAAGAAAAGCTGCTAGCAATCATGAGGAGAGTGACTTCTTACTATTCCCTACTTCCCAGGGAGTAGGGACTGGAATGGGTGAGGACCAACTAGCTGTTTCCTTTTTCTGTCCTCCTGTGTAGTGGTCATTTATGGCAAGGCTTCATCACCTGAGAATAGGGGATGTCCAATATCTCTCCCACCTAGGAGTGTTCTTTCCAGGCTTTAAAAGTGTTCAATGAGTTTGGGATGTATGGGGGATATGGAAGAAATGATTTAAAAAATACATTCAGTAATTTTGGAAACCTAATAGGCATTTTTTAGTTTTTTTTTTTTTTTTTGCCATTTAGTAATTTCGACAACCCCATGAAAAGCAGGTATTATTATTCTCATGTCCCTATAAGGAACCCGAGGTTCAGAGAAGAGGGATTATTTGTACAGGGTCAGCTACATCAGACTCAAATCAGCTCAAATCAGACTTTGAGTTTATATTATGTGAGGCTGACACTTGAGATCTCTATATAATCCTATACCTTTCACTGATAAATTCACTGAGGGAAAACCTGTGTCCTGGAAGAAACTCTTAGGACACATATCATTTGTGCCTCTGCTCATATTGTTGTTGTTGTTGTTGTTGTTGTTTTTTAAGATTTTAAGATCAGTAGGCATCCGTCAAATTTTCCGTGGTGAAAAATGGCCACAGCGAGAGACGGAACACAAGCAGGGGGAGCGGCAGAGGGAGAGGGAGTCTGATGCGGGACTCCATCCCAGGACCCTGGGATCATGACCTGAGCCGAAGGCAGACGCTTAACGACTGAGCCACCCAGACGCCCCTACTCATAATGTTTTCAATAGTGCACTTTTCTGTTGGAAAGCAATCTATTTTAATAACAAAGATATTTGCACTCTTTTGTAACTAGCAAACCAGCCTTCCCCAGTAAGCAAGTTATTCCAAGCAGGACATTTTTGTCTCAATATCAGCTTGAAAAAGTGCCTCACTTCATCTGGGAAATGAGTTATGCATTGCAAATGCTGGTTTAGTGTTTATTTAGTATTTTAAAATAATACATATTACACATAGATATTTAAGAAATCTAAATTATTTCTGTTTAACATGAATTCTGCAGATTTCATTTGGCACGCCACACAAAGACTTCTACCGAGTGACTTTGCACTTCCAACCAAAGCACGCAGATGGGAGAGCCCTCTCCTAATTTGATCTAAACCCTCTTTACCCAAGCAGAGATAGCAAGGATTCTTTTGGGTGTTGGCAATGAGACGATTCTTTTCTGTGCCCGTTTTTAACCCAACTCACAATTCATAGAATTTGCTGGTGACTAAGAGATTCTTTGTCATGCCCCTGCTGTTCTGTAGGTGCATGAAAGTTCAAGAACTGGACAGTTAAATCTGCATTCTGTTAAGCCCCATGTCTGAGTGCTTGCTGCCAGTGGTTGGCCACATGTAGAGCGATAATTATGTATGTCCTTCAGACTTTATGAAGCTTGATGAATTAATTGGATTTTATAAAGCTGTTTGAGCTATGGACATGAAAGGTATTATGGATGTGTTAAATACTTTATTTCATATGCCCACCCTGCACCACAGTCCAAAGGAGCCTTGTTATTATGCAGCCTGAGCCCTGGAGCAAGCCAGTGGCAAGGACAGCAGCCTCCTGTTTTATCAGGAATCAGATTTCACAGAACTGAGGTCAACCTTCAGTGCATTATCGAATACAGTCAACATTTCTTTTAACATGAAAATCTGGAATTTTTATGGTGTTTGGGAAATTCCTCCTCACTCTGACAATTCAAAAAAAAAAATGGGCAAAGTTAGACTTCACTTTTCTATGACAGAGCTTGAATTAAAAGATTATCTTTTTCTCTATCTTTATTTCATTCCTCTTTCCTTAAAAAGATTTTTCAGGGGTGCCTGGGTGGCTCAGTTGGTTGAGCGACTGCCTTTGGCTCAGGTCATGATCTCAGGGTCCTGGGATCGAGCCCCACATCGGGCTCCCTGCTCCGCGGGAAGCCTGCTTCTCCCTCTCCCACTCCCCCTGCTTGTGTTCCCTCTCTCGCTGTTTCTCTCTGTCAAATAAATAAATAAAATCTTTAAAAAAAAAAAAAAAGATTTTTCAGTGCTCTTGGTTACAATTCATCTAAATGGAGAGACCAAAGCAGAAAGTGAGAGATGAGAACCAGTTATTTGCTGGTGATTTGCTTCCCATTGGTGTGTATTCTTTGCTGTTTTTCAGGGATGACATATCTTTTATTCCTGGCTTGCTGACTGATAAACTTAGGGAGTTTCTGAATAATGTGAGTTTCTTGGGTTTCTTTTCTCTATCCCCAGTTCTTTGAGTTTAGTTAGTTTGTAGTGCTGTACTGGGGATCACATAGAGCCAAGGGTCAAGGGCTTCCCCAGCATCCGTGCGACAGATACAGCCCTCATGAAGGACAGCACAGTACCAGTGCATGATGACACTTTTTGCAGTGACTGGGACAGATGGGAAATCAATGGTAGGCTGTGATGCGACCTCTTTACTCTATTGAAAGGAACAGAGAAGGGAGAAGGAGAAATGGCTTGTTAGTTCCTTGTGACATAATAACAGGTGATAAATCAAGGAAAAAAATACTGAAAACTGGTGTTTTGCAAAGTTAGAAGAGAAAAATCACTGCTAGTAAACCAGCATGAAACCACCAGGCAGGACCTAAAAATATTCAGTAAGCCCAGAGTTCCCAGTACTCTGTTTTCTTTAGCAGTGGTGAATGCCCTGCAGACTGCATCTCTTCATGATTCTTCTGCTGTCCTGTTAGGGTACTAATGGGTGGGCATATTATTAAATGTAAATGTAGATACAAAAGTTGAAAATAGAGCCGTGTAAGCATGGTGGCGATTTTCATACAAACTTTGTATT